CGGGAGGCACTGTGGCATCAATGCCAGCACAGTTTAGTTTCCACAGACACTAAACTGATCTTCCTGGACCACTAGAACTGATTTGACTGTTAATGATAGTTGACGTTTGTGTGGATTATTGGTCTTGAGATGTCTGAGATAATTATTTACAACAAAATTGAGTCTTTTTGCAAAAAACTTAATAATTGTTGGTGAGAACGACTGTCGATTTGTCTGCGTGAGTTTCCCGAAACTAACCAACGTCACACGTATCTGAACGCGTGCTCGATGGCGTCATTGATGCCGTAGAGTTGTCTGCTTTGCAATAGTCCAACTGACGTTCATCTAGCTGATCTTTGTAGAGTCGATAATGCGGTACGGGGGTGGTGAATCATCGTGTGATGCTTCTGATTGCATATACTACACGTACGATCTAAGTTACACTTTTTTATGGAATGGTGACCGAAACAATTGAAACAGAGCCGAGAAGTCAGCACGAGTTTGTATCTCATGGACTCTGTCAATTTTTTGAATGAAGAGCAGTCTGAAAGGTAGTGATCAGAACTCGTACATTGATCACAAGGATAATCAGCTTTCTTCTGGTTGTGTTGAGATTGTCGATGACATGCTCGAGGTGTCTGTTGCTTCTGTTGAGTTGGCTGATGAGTTGACTTCGTTGTTGAGCATGATGATGCTTGAGTTGGCAGCTGGTTGATCTGATCTGCTAATGAATCTGCAGCTTCAATTGCTCGTGCTTGAGAAGTAATGAACAAAAGAAGTTGGTTGAGAGTTGGGGCTGTCTGGTTGAGTCGAGTCTCTGACGGTTCCAGGTTTCTCTGAACTTGGAGTTTAAACGGTTGAGTAGTCTGAAGATTAATGGGTAGTCCCAGTATTGACTAGGGACCCCTAACCCCTGAAGCAGATCAAGATTCTTCTTGACAGTCTCTACTAGCTTGTCAAGTTCTGAAGAAGTTGCCGAAACTGGAAGTAAATCACTGAAGAGTTGTTCGACATGAGAAAAAATGAGTTGTTCCTCCTCATAAGACCACTCCGACCGTGTCTTATGAGTTTCTTTCTCAATATGTGATTTAATTCTATTGAGAGTAGAGGAGGCTGCATAATGAATCTTCATTGCCATAGTGAAAAGATGAGTAGTCATGTATTCATGCTCGAACACACTGGCATGGCATGAATCTCCAATAGCATCATGCTCTGCACAAAATGTTTCCCAAAATTTCCCAAGTGAAGCAATTGTGTTATCGATAAAGCCCATAGACGTCTTGGTTTTATCCATAGCAAGAATTTCATCTCTCAATTTTATGAGGTGAAAGAAGCGTTCCATCTGAGCTGATAACCTGCGTTGTGTTATGCTAAATCGTGATTCAGGAGATGGTGATCTTGACCCACGTTGTGATGAATTGTCTGGTGAATGAGTTGACGAACCTGATGACATAGTTGAGTCTTGCTGATGTGAGTTGTCTTGTGGGAATATGTTCTCACACGGTGAGTTGGCTGGTACACTGAAGTTCTTGTCATTTCACATGCTGAAGTACTGGTTAACAAGGTCACAATCACTGAATCAATCACTTAGATCATTAGAGATCACTAGAGTTGTCAAAAGTGAATTCAATGTTTTCTAAATCGTGATTATCGGCACTGGGGATAATACAACACTGAGTAGTCTGACTAATTCTGCATAACCATTACACTAATGGATGGAGAGTTGTCTCTAAGACACAAAAATTACATGAAATTGATTACACAACTCAACATTAGAGAGATGACTGAAATTATGACTAATCACAATACTTTGCCACGAAAACTGAGATTAACTGATCAATTGATTACTTCAATGATCACTGAGTATATCTTAATCTGCACGTGTACTTTTCATAACCAGAAACTTGATTTAATTCACTCCAATTATTCTAAGGAGCCAACACGCTCACTGGTGATATTAAATCAATCGCAAACTCGATTGACCCACTTAATAGTACACCAGAAAATAATCAGCTGTTTAGTCGTGCAAGGTCACTCAGAGAATTCGTAGAATACTGAAAAGTGCGCGCGAGCACGCTTCAAGACACTAAGAGTCGATCAGGCTGAGGATCTCTGAAGCACTACAACAATTCTGAGTGTCACTGGGCACAAAAATGCGTAAACAAGTATTGTTTGCAACGTTATTTACACCGAAATTGAATTGAGTTGTCTGAAAATATCTAAACACTGACTAAAATTGAATAAAATAACTGAAATTTAACTTAACGTGAATTGTCCGCGAAATATGTTGAGTTGACCGAACATTACAAAAAAAAGATACACCATTCAACCGACTGCTCCAGAGTTGTTCGGAGTATGCATCCAAGCCGGACCCCATCCGGCTCGAAGGACCAAATGTTCTGACTTTGAGTCGGCTGAGTGAGAAGTCGGGACTTTGTGGACTGTATTTTTTAGGATGTTTGGATGCTAGAACAGTCGGGACTTTTAAACGGTGTAAATGAGTTGGCTGACACTATTTAACAGTAACAGTTAACGGTTTATTAAACACTAAAATCACAGTAACAGAAAAATAACAATAAAAGAGTCTTTGAATTGTCTGTACAGTCTTGAGTTCACGGAAATTTCACACAGAGTTCACTGATGAGTAGAGGATCACAGGAAAGTTGTAAGTTTTCCTGTACTGGTCTCTGCATCAGGAGTAGCCTGATTTTTTTGAGTAGTCTGAGTTTCATTGCGTTGGCGTCAGCCACACAGACACAAGCGAGTTGTTCGTGTATGGATCTTGTGTGTGTGTCTGTCCATGAGGCCGTGAGGCGTCGAAGCCGACATCATTCGCACCTTTTGTAAGAAAGTGCTGATGCGGACCAACATGAGCTTCCTGAGGATGTCTTCTAAGAGGAAGACTGCCTGATGAGTTCATAATCATCACTATAGATGATTAACTGGTGAGTTAGTCCATGTCTGAGGAGTTGTCTGGGTTTTCACTAGAGAATTCGACTGCGTGCGCTCTCTGCTAGTACACACGTACCGAGTTGACTGTTACAACGAGTTGTCTGTAGATCTGCATCGTCCGATGATGCCCAAGAGTCGTCCGAGTATGAGCTACGTACGAATACTCGTAGCAACCGGCGAATACCGACTAATACATACCGTTTTTCCCGAAACCTCTGCGTTCTCGAAGCTTCTAGGCCCTTCGAGAAGGGATATATACGTCTAGGAATTAATTAGAGTTGTCTAATTGGCGAAAATGAGTTGGCAGGAGAGACCTCGAGTCATCTAATTATTCGGTGGGGAGAAAAATGTTAGGCCGTCGATAGAGTACCTTAGACCAAGTCAGAACAGTCAGTGATATTTGTAATTAAAAAATGAAAAATGAATTCAATAAAAGTGTATGATAAAAACAGTTCTGTGAAGTTGAATATAAAAGAGAATAAAATTTCAATAAAAACTATTACAACCTACTTTCCTGGAGCTAACAGTTTAACGTACGATCAAAATTCAGAAAGATGTGGTGTTGCAGTCGAAAATGATGATTTTTCATTGGTAGAAGGTGTCACTGAATATGAAATTTATTATGCTAATCATTTGAAAGGTGAGTTAATCACATTTTTTTAAATTTTTGATTAGATGTTTGTAAGCAGAAACTTGCTACAACCTAGGAAATAATATCCATATGTAGTTGAGACTTCATAACGGTCTTTATGTCGTATCTAAGCTTCAATTTTAAATAAATCACTGATACGAAAATGAATAAGTTGCAAAATTAGTGATGAAACAGAAAGTTAATTTTTTTTTCCTTACAGAAAGTAATCAGAACAATTCCAAAAAACGAATAATTCAACATATCATGAACGTGATAGAGGGCAAAGCGGATGAAAATACAGAAGATCATCTGATTGCACCGAAAAATCGGGTACGTAAAATGAACAAATTTAACAATGTCATATAACCATCAATCATTTTACGCACACAACTTTTTTTTATATAAGTAACATTAATTATATTTTTAATATAAATTGGTAAGAAACAACAATAATTTAGATAAATCAGTTGCACTACAATTAAAATATGTTTTCATGATACTTGTTCATACATTACTTAATTGTGATTGCAGATAACGACCCGAAAAGTCCAAAGGAAGTTATTATACGTCGCATGGAAACATAAAGTTATACCTACAGAACGGTTTTATAAACAAATGCGAAGTGAAAAAAATTGAATTGGATAGGAACACAGACTACTCTTACGACGAGATTCGTAAATTGAGTATTGATGCTATGCAAAATACTTTCAATCAGCATATTTTTGATCGGTCCACAATTACATTAGCCAATAATGAAGAGGTTGCTATACATAATTTTATCAATGCTCGAGGTCAGAAATGTAATTTTTGGGATTTTTCGCCAAAAATTAAACTAACAAATGGACTTTTGCAATTATGCTTACTAACTTCGCCGCCAGAAACTAGCAGTATTATAGACTCTAATAAGACTGACGGAGTGAAGATTCCAATAACTTCTCCTAGAAATCCACAGTTGCCATCAATTAAGGTGACTCAATGTTCATCTGAACCTTCTATCACATTATTTAATAACCATAGCTTGTTAAGTAAAAGAACTTCAAATAATGAAAATCATTCGATTGTAAAGAAGTCTCATGATAATTTGCCATTTTCATCAATACAGCTAATTTCGTCTTCATCGAAAACAAATTCCATATTATCTAACAGACAAGTTTCTTCAAATTCAATGGTTAGAAAGGATAACTCAGATAAACCAGGGTCTAGTACAATGAATGATAATAACAACAATAATAAACAATCGTCGTCTGTGAACAATATTACTCAACCTGTAATGTTAAGTGCACCTGTAATAGACGCAAAAGAGATAGAATTTTCTCATAAAATTCTAGAAAAAGGGGCTTTCGGATGTGTAGTGTTAGCAAAATAGATTCGGAATGGATCGGAAGTAGCAGTCAAAAAAATTCCTATGAGCGATAATAAAAAATATATGATTCGAGAAATGCAAGCTATGGATACAGCTTGGCATCCAAATATTATTTCACTCATGGCTGTGAGCAGTATTGACACTCATGTTTACATAGTTATGGAATATTTTGATAGTTGTAGTTTGAAAGACTCTATTAAAAATCGTAATTCTAAAATTAAGGACCCAGAAAAGAAAAACAGAAATTACTATATTTGTTTACAAATAAGTAAAGCAATTGCGTATCTTCACGAGTTGATTCCAAAGATAATTCATAAAGATATTAAGCCTGAAAAAATTTTAATCAATAAGCATTTAATTATTAAAATCTGTGATCTTGGACTCAGCAGAATATGTGATTTGTCACTATCAGCTCTACGCACTACGATCGGGCATAATCTTTGTGGCACGCCAATGTATATGGCTCCTGAAATTTTAGTGCATAATTTGCCAGCAAGTACATAGAGTGATGTATGGTCTATGGCCTGTTGCTTTGTTGAGCTTTTTTCAGAAAAAAGTATTTGGAATGTACAGCCGTTTACCATATCAAGATTAAAACAAGTGATATCCAGTGAAGTAAAACCAGATTTAGAACGGATACCAATCAATTTGCATAATGATATCAGTGCCTGCTTCAATAATAACCCTAATGGAAGGCCTAAAGCAGTGACCTTAGTTAAGGTTCTTGAACGCCTTTGGGATGGATATCGTTATTAGAAATACTATTCAGATCTCAAGTTAAATAAAAATTTATCGTTGAAAAACTTCGTACTTAACAGTGTTAAATTCCTGAAAGTATTTTAAGATTTTTGTTGTACTGGTTTATTAGCAGTAATAAGATATGATTATTCCTCGTTGATCTATTTATTGTTATAAAAATTCATAATAATGTAACAGAAATACTAATTCTAAGGTGTTTATCTAAAATGTAATATTTTATAGCTTTACAGAGATACTAATTACAATTAAGTAGTGTAGTACAACTTGATATATTGTTAGTGCAAGCATAAAAATTACTAGCTCCAGTGTAAACAATATTCTTTAACAAAAGATTATCAGACATTTTTATACTTTTTACATGTTTTTAACATCCACAAAATTGAAAATAAACTTATTTTTATATTTGCACAAGTAAAAGTTAACTATCTTGATTCCTTATTGATAACTAGTTAATCATTATTTAATACTTTTCAAAAGTTCTTACAAATTTAAAAAATTGTTTTGGATAAAAAAAATAAAAAAAGGTTTTTTGGTAGATAAGTTAAGAGGAAATATATATAACATTTTCTTTATGTTTCCTACAGTACCAAATGAATAAAATACAACTCAATATAACTATAGAACAATTTCTATTGAATTACATTCTTTTCATTAATTTTAATTACAATTTATAAATAATGATTGAACAATTTTTCTCGTAAATATGGTTGCTAAGGAGATAAAGTAACATTGTTGAGAATTAATTAATTTTCAGTTTGAATTTGCCAGCTGACAGGAACTTCGGCGGCCATCTTGGGACTGGGTCGGTAACCAATCGACTAAACAATCAATAATTCTTAATTTAGTCAATCATTTGACTAATTTTCAGTGTCTTTGTTGACTAATGAAGTTCCTGTCGCCATTTTTTCACTGTTCTCGTTCACGTGTACACGCCATTCTTATTCATTCTTAACAAATCTTACAAGTTTGAGTCAATCATCAAGACTAGTGCTATTGAAAATCATCAAAGCCATTCAAGCTTCATTCTAAAACTAGAATCAAGAAATATCTCAAGATTTTTCAGTGTAATTCAAGACATTTCATCAAGATTCATTTGCATTGCATTGATAGGCTAACGCCACGTGCACAATCACATTCTTGCTCAACTTGAGAAGCGTGCTGAGCTCGTGTGGGAGGTCATTAATACCGAACACACCAAGTTGAGTAGTTTTTTGGACATTCAATTCAGATTCAAGAATTAAAAATAGACATTCAGTGATTTTGAGCGACATTCAGTCTTTCTAGTTAACAACTCAAGTTTGTCAGTATACTTAGTGTACCTGTTAGTGCTTAAAATAAAGATACTTCATTTTTTATAAAACCTGACTTCCGTTTGCTCTGTTCCGGCACAATCATCCCTATCCTTAACGGTTAGGTTAATTCACAAGTTGAGACTTTCTCAACAAACATAAAATATGATAAATATGATCTTGGAGCTACAAAGTAGCATAGATAAAATTTTAAATGTCATCGTTAAGAATTATTTAGATTTTGTCTTTTAAATTCATTGTATTCGCTCAATATTTTTTTGTACAACGCTAATGCTTCTGTAGGATTTGTTGGAATTTCAAAGTCCGAAATTAAAAGTTCTGCTAATTCTTTCACTAGCGGATCAAATAACTGAGGCTTCTTTGTGAACCCATCGATTAATTGATCAACAGTATCTGGATTAACCATTTTTTTGCAGCAATATTGATGAGGTAACTAAAAGAGTACGTTTGGCTGTCCGCCAAGATGATTCCGTACTGCTTATCGTCTTATACGGTGTTGGTTCCATAGTTTTTTATTATTTTGTAAGTCGTACTTCAACAGCGGCCCGAAACAAAGCTGTAAACACTTGACATGTAGAATACTCCCATCAAATGAACCTTTCTCTTGTTAACATTTAAACAGCTGTATGTAAAAGTCAACTGAGGGCCCCCGGGGTTGCATAGATGTCTCTGCTCCTAAGATATGTCGCGCAACAACGGGAGCAGATTAGACTATAATCCGTCGTGCCCCACTTTCGTACTGCCCTATATGGCAGTCTGAATGGGGGCACGTCGAACACGCCGAGCGCGAGACGCGTTAGCGACCGCCGACCAAAGCGGAGAAAGTTGGTACTACGGGAGGCCAAATTCCAAGCCCTGTGCCTGGGGCTGCAAAGTCAAAATATGACATGTAGGCCCAGGTACAACTGGCCAATTGAGGTCGGACTCGTAGTGGTATGTCGTAAGGCCTCGGGCTTGTTACGTGTATCCCTGTGCCTGTTCTAGGTGCAGGTATATGCGTCCCGGGAAATGCCATCGCTAAGATAGTAGTGTATTATAATTTCCCAGAGTTATGCCCAATGAGGCGAGGTACTCAATTTCGTCCTTCGGACGGGGGGAAGCATGGCTTTGTAAAAGTTAACTGTATGTTGACGCATTCGTCCCCAGTATGATTCAAAGCGCTGGTTCTTTACACTTTTACCTTGTATAAAACTATTTTCCCCGGCAAGTTTATCTGTGTGTATCTTTCGCATACATGTTTGCAACTCTCCAACAAGCACGTTTTCCGAACCTTTGTCACACCGGATAATAGTTGGTAGGAATTTTAGCTGCTTAACAGTTTTTAAATAGTAATAAGCTATAACTGCTGGATCATTGTTGGTAGTTGCTACTTCCAGCCACAGAACTCTTCAAGGAAAACCATCGATACAACCATGGATTGCAAATCCAAACTGTTTTAGTTTGTCGTATCTGTCTTAATGCCACATGAAGTTCGGTCCTGGACTGAGGTATTGACGTCGACGTAGTTTGTTTCCATAACGATTTGCTATGCCTTCAGGATCAAGAATCTTTAATATTTTGTAGACAGTATCTCTTTTTACGTTAAGTTTGTACTGCAATTTCAATTTTTTCCGTAAGCTCCTGTATCCTAAGTTATAACCGGATGAATGAACCTTTTCTATAGCAGCAGAAATAATATCTCTCATACTTGATTTAGGTACATATTTTCTCTTAAATCCCAGCGCTGACAAAATTCTCTTAATTGTACTAACTGACATCGAAATATCATGATTTGTTACTAACGATTCACGTATGTCTAAAATTTTATAATTCTCTGAAAAATATTGTTTTATGTACTGTTCTACCATGATCACATATTTCACAACACTTTTATGTAACAGCAATCGTAAACACGATAATTATTTTTCAATAATTAATTGAGATAACTGTTGAATTGTTTATTATTGGATGCTCCAAAACTTCTTATGACTTTACTCATAAAAATTACTGGCAATTTTTTACAATCACTTTTAGATATTGTTTGTATGTATTCTCAATGAAATATTGATCCGTATACTTAATTCATTTTTCATTTTTTAATTACAAATATCATTGACAAAAATTTTTATTTTGGTTGATTATGTTTTAACGCCGGCATTCTGTTTTGATATGACGTCATTATGATGTGACGCCATTTTGTCCCTATTTTAAATTCACAAGTACACAAATGCACAAGTTAAAACTTAACTAGTGGATTTTTTACTTGTAACTGGTACACTTGTGCTCAAGTATGTAATACACATGTTGGAAATAAACTTGTGTGGCGCCACTTTCTCACAAGTTGACGATGAGCCTACCAGGCTTCCGTACGCGATATGATTTTAAAAATTGAATAACGTATTGTAGAAACAAAAATAAAATTTATTGACCTTCTATTGTTTAATCTCTTAGCTATAAATAAAAAATTTTTCATTATTGTAATTTGTGAATAATTAAATACGTTTATTTTTCGCTTGTTAACTTAGAAATTTTTTTAAAACTATGGATCGACATCCTAACGCAAACATCTCAACGTCACTTCGAGGATGAATTGTGGGTCTTCACGAGTTGGGTACGTCAGTTGAAGATATAGCAACGAGAATTGATGTCCACATAACAACCGTGGAGAGACGAATAGATAGATTCGCGGCGAGAGGTATTGATGGCTTCCAAGATCACCGGAAAAATATTAAACGCCCAAGTCAGACGACGGATCAGGAGAACCAACACCTTATCCAAATCATGAAGGATTATCCATTTAATGCGGCAAAGGACAACCTTTTTTAACACATGAATATCGTGAGAGGCGCTTACAGTATGACAATAATTTCATAAGTTATACAGAACAAGATTGGAGTAAAGTTATTTTCTCTGATGAAAAGGTAAGTTCATAATTTATTTTTGGATGATATAAAAATTACTCTGTCAAGCAATGTAATCGTGATACGCTGCACAAAAAGTAGAATGTACCCTGCGGGATAGTAAAATTTACTCTGAAAGATAATGTGAGATAGAATTTACCATTCAAAATGGTAACAATTTCTCTATCTTTCAAGATAAGTTTTACGATCGTATAGGGTAAATTTTATTATTTTTTTTGCAGTGTATCATGATGATACTGCATGGCAGAGTAATTTTTGCTCTCTTTTTTCCCTGTATATTTAGTTATTTAAATCAAGTAAGGATGGCAGAAAGATTGTTTATCGCGAAAAAGGACAGCGGCTAAATCCGACATTCGTGACGGAAAACAGCAGCAATAGATCATCAGTAATGTTCTGGGGCTGTATGTTTTCAGCGGAATTGATGGCTCTTCAGGAAGTGTTGAACCATATGAACGCTAAAGAATACGTGGAAATATTGGAGAACGTGATACTTCCTGCTGCAAGAGAGCCCGTGCGGAAATATTTCTCTGAAATAGTCTGAAAAATGCTCAGAAAATTTCTGAAAATGACTGAAAACTTAAAGATTCATTCTGAAAAAACATCGAAAAATTCGGAAATCTCATGAAATCATCTGAAATATTGCCAAAATTGGAACAATTTTCTGTAAAGTTTTAGAGCTAATCAGAGAATAAAATTTGAGAATATTAGATTTTTTCAGAGTCATTCAGAATAAATAAGATATAACTAGGAAATCAATTATTTCAATTATGGAGGTTTTCAATAATTT